GCATACAAGATATGACCAGTAAATTAATGCACAAGGCTTATGCTACTCTTGCAGGCATCTTGCTCTAGCCACATGAAATACGAGTCAAGTAAATCAAGCACTTACAAAGCAAATGGTTAGTTAATTCGTCTTATCCGCTAAATTACTTTCTTTGGTATAAGGTTGCACGTACAACTATCGCATTGAAGCTTATATATCTACCAACTCTATGAAATATCCATATGTAGAAAATGCTTATATAGTTCTATATTTTGGTACCACATGCTTAAAACTTTTGTTCCTATATTACCTTGTAGATAATCAATCTATATAACCAATGAAGGTTACAAGATGTTAAAGATTAATTAATTTGAAAACAACACTTCTGTTTTGTAAAAAAAAAAAACGTTATTTAGTTTTAACTAAAATTTTATCCGTTCTGTATTGATGCGACAATAATTGACTTAAAAAGGAAAACTCTTTAAGGAGCAGTAGAATTTTATAAGGATGTAAGTTGTCCAACCACAAGCGTCATACACCAAATCCATGCATAGAAATTTAGGATAATTTATGTTGGCAAAGCATAAAAGTCATGGACCTAAGCCAAGTAAAGAAAAATTGTTAAAAATAAGCATGAAAGTGAAAACAAAAAAATTACGTCAAAACGTATACAAACTTGAGTTTATACTGACACGTACATAAAAAAGCATGTATGTTTTACTTTTAAATTAACGAAGGAAAGTTCTAAATATAATTCGAAGCGTTTACCATCTCGAATCTAAACCAACACATAGGAGAATCTGATTATGTATACTACAAGGGGTATATATGAAATTTTAGAAAACGGAGGGGCAAAAATGATATTTTAGAAAGTTCAAAGTTAAGAGGGGTGAACGTGACATTTTAGAAAGTTCAAAGTTAAGTGGTGAAAGTGTAATTTTAAAAAGTAAAAGGCAAAAATTGAAGGAGTTAACAAAAGTAAAGACCAAAATTACTAAATAGCAACGTCAAGAGGGAGGGGAGGACGTAAAAGCCACATATTAAAAAGTAATTCGATGAAGAATGTAAAGATGTATATGACAACTTCGTTTTATATTGTCGAATGAAAGTGTATTGTATATGATCCAATTTATATGTAGAAAACCTACATAAAAATAAGTATAGAAACATACACAAAGATTATGTTGAAACATAAAGAAACTCAAATTTCTACTGATATGATTTTTTTTTAAAAATTAACAAACAAAAGTCCTAAATTTACGTCGAAGCATTGATCGCCTCGAATTTATACCAATACATTCATAAAAATAAGCACATAATAAAATAGTTTTTTTAAGTTAACGAACTTTACAAAGTTCAAAATCAAAGGGCGTCAAAGTAACATTTTATAATAAGCACTAAGAGAATAAGTTGTTTAGCAATGCGAATACGTTCAACCTTATAAGAATATCGTCATTTTCATGCATTCTCGTTAATTATTATTATTTTTTGTTCTCACACATCGTTTTTCACTCATTTTCATTCTGACAGAATACGACTCAATAAAACATTCTGACAGAATTAAGAATAATAATAGTAAGTATATAATAACTTTATAGACGATTTAATTAGTGAGAATGTGTGTTAATGACAATAGTTATGTAAGATTGAACGTATTT